TAAAAAATCAGTACAGTGAAAAACACATTTCTACTAACTCCCCATTTCCTTCAAACACACGTGTCCCATCACTCCAGCCACTTTCTGAGACAGTTCTAGAAGTCCTTTCATTTGAGCATTTTTAGTTGTGCTGCTGCTGTCCCCACCAGGTCCTGAAAGGATTCCGAATCCTGACCTTTCATGGTTCTCTCACTGGGGAAGAGCGTGATCTGGCCGGTGCCAGACCCAGGGAGGACAGCAGCAGAGGCCACACCGCAAAGCTTTCCTCCAAGCCTGCCTTTCTGTTTGGACGGCACTCATACCACCTAAAAACACTCACAAAAAGACTTCAGAACTGAATGCTTCAAGAAATGGCAAGAATGATGGAATAAGTATGCCTTATAGTAATGTGTCTTTTATGGTAGTAACTGTTTTATTTAGTCATTCACCTTATACTTCAATCTAACTGCATGTGTGTCACCTGAACTCTTGTTAAGTCTTCTCAGTTGTTGCTACAATCCATCCATAACGACGGATAGACACCTCTCGATGTCAGCTTTGGTCCTAATGGTCCCGTCAGAGGGCAGGGATGGGTGTGAGGAGCACAGAAAAATGAAGGGGAAGGAACAAGGAAAGCTGAAGAATGGGGCGTCTCTCTCGTAACTCTACCACTTACAGCAGCAATGGGACTGCCATGAAATTATCAGGGTAATGTACTCTTCAGCTACCTCTCATTACTGATGGGAGGAATAAGTATTAGTGTTTATAAGCAGAAAGGACTTGTTAAAGATACTGTATTTCTTTTGCACAAGAAAAACTCTTGGCCTTTGAGTTTTATTTAAGTGAAAATAACCTCTTTCAAGAGAGAATATTTAGTAAGTTTCCCTCCACAATTATTGTAACTAATAAAATATGTGATTCTTTGGGACCATTTCACAAAGAAGTTAAAATGATACATAGTTAACATTTAATTGAATATGATATAGGAGTTATTCTTGGTAAATCTTATAGCCCCTAAATATCTTAGGCCTAAATATCATGCTACATAGAGAAGTTAGTTACTGAAATCTAACAAAGGTGCCTTTGGGAAGTGAGAGAACTTTCTAGAAATCTAATGCTATCCCTCCACTGATCAACGTGTCACATGCACCCACATTGTTGTGCAGAAATAACTGATTGTCCAATCAGAAGCAATAAGACCATTGCAAGCATTTACTAGAATTATTTTCAATAAAGTGGTTCTCTTGCAATGACACTGTCTCTCACGCCCACCCAAAGGGGGCAGTTCGCATTTCTTGCCCAAATGATGCCTATGTTCAAAAACACTATATCTACTTTAAAAGAAATTTTACTTAGGTTTGAATATAATATCCTGTCTTGTTCATCTGGGAGAGAGACAGCAGAATGAAGTAGGAGGGAGAGCTACAGGTGTGACGATGTCAGCTGATACTGTCTTTTGTTCACCCCTTGCTCTTACATCTTCGAAGAACAGCCAGGTTGATATTCATTATATAAAGGTCTATACAAAGATGCAGTATTATCAGAAGTACACAGGGAGTGGTGGGCAGTGTTAGTGGGTGATAGTTCCAATTAAAGAAGACGGTTAAGGCTGGGCTCTGGGGCCTTACAATACCTCTGCAGATGACACGGCAAAGTCTGGGCACTCTGCTGGCTTACAAGGAGTTGACATTTTGCTGTTTGTCAACCATGGTTTACCATAATTGCGTGTTAAAGGATGGAGAATCTGTATGGAACAATGGCAAATCAAATGTAAAGGACAGCAGATAAAAAACAAAGCCACAGAATGAGATATTCATAGCTGGGAGTCACATTTCACAGTCAGATAACAATTAAAAATAAGTGGGAAGATGGCAAAATTATATACACCAAAAAAGGAGAGAGAGAGAGAGAGGGAGAGCGAGAGCGAGAGCGAGAGCGAGAGCGAGAGCGAGAGCGAGAGAGAGAGAGAGAGAGAGAGAGAGAGAGAGAGAGAGAGAGAGAGAGAGAGAGAGAGAGCATGCATGAGAGTGCAAATGAAGCTTTAAAAGAAACCTCAATTTGAAATATAACAAAGTTCCTACATAAATAATCTTTATATGGATCAGTAAGAAAGGCATATTTTGATTTTATGGACCTGGGGATCAAACTCAGGACCTTGCACTTGCCAGGCAGGCACTTAGGCCACTGAGCTACCTCCCTGGCCCCTGGCCAAGCATATTTTTAAAACAAGAAAATCCTGAGTTCCCTATGCCGTGAGAAGGGACACAAATAGAGACAAATGGTTCTATAAATCCCAGGGATGTAAAACATTCAGTGGTGCACTCAGAACACTGTGCAGAGGAGAAGTTTTATCCCAGCATCCTACCTTGGGTGTACTTGTGGCAGGGACCTGCGGGGAGGCCCCTTGACCAGCCTGGCTGGACACAGAAGTTGATCTGTTAGGTGAAGCTCCCCGAGAGGAGGGCCGGGATCTGCGGCCCCGGGGTCGGAAAGGAGCCATGCCCTGGCTGGCGCCGTCTGCCAAGATGAACTTCTCACGCAGTTCCATGTTGGTCCTTCCTTTAGCTGGATCACACACCGACAAACAGCAGCAACACACACAAAAGAAGGATAACAGGCACTTAGTCACTAATGGAAAGAACAACCACTTAGCACCACAGATTATGCTGAGAATTTCAAGAAAATCTTTTTTGCCATGCCAACTCCAATTCAGCATAACAAAAAGTTAAATGCATTCCTTAACAATGCATTCCTTTTGGATACAAGTGAGTTTGGGAAGGGGGAAGAAGTATGCTTATTCTAACACTAGACACCAGCAAGAATAACCACTGTAAAAGAAAGACTCAGCATGAAAATGGAAAGCTCATGCTAAAATACTGTTAATCCACCAGCTACTGCTGCCACAGGGTCTCACTGCCCTTTCATCACACCGAGAAGACAAGCGAGGAGGGCAGAGACTACGTCTCTTGCATGTGCTACTGAGGTCAGGAGAATGCTAGTAGTTAACACGGGGGCTAATTAATAATAGATTACACAGAAGGAGAGATGGCTCATAAGGCATGATGACAGCACGGAAACTTCCAGGTTTTCACTGACATGAGGCAGCTAGTTATTTTTACTTTATGCGTTGAGAAACTTTACCAACATGCAATAACAAACACCAGACCCAAGGATCCGTGAGGTAGTCAGTGATGCAGCACTCGAACACATGTGCACATGGAGCACACGCGAACCCAATGAGCAGCGTGTTAGCATGTGTCCAATCACTTGTAACACACCTATATTTGCAACACACTGGAAGTGTGTCCAATTTCCAAAATTTAAATTTGGAAGCACCAGCTCACAGTTGGATACGAGTTAAGCCATAAGCGATGAAGCGGGTTATAGTAAAACAAATGATCAAAGCAAGAATGTAAAAGTAGAAAAAGAAAAAAGGAAAGAGAGAGAGGCAAAGAGAGGGGTTGCCAACCTATAGTAGGCTGAGTAGTAGTAATTGAAGAGTTTGATTCCGAACGTAACATTTTACTCCCATGATGATGAACTAGAAAAAATGACACAGGATACCAATCACATTTAGGAATACTGTTAGCAGCAGAAGAAACAAAGTACAGTAGTCGGATATGCAAAGAGTGCTCCAGCCTGCAGCACGCATTTTAGAAGAAAAGTGGCATCAAGAAAAGAAACCCTCTCACTTCTGGCTCAACAAGAAAAGTGCACTTGAAAGATTTGGCCCCAGTCACACTAGATTCCTAGGCTAACTGAACATTTCTTTCTTTCATAAATGAAGTTACGCTGGGCCACTGCTTTCAGATACAGCTATGTGCCACGTCAGGACATTTCACCAATGGCCACACGGTAGGCCACGGTGGCCCGTGACAGCAGAGCTGAGAGGAAGCATCACCTGCTTGGCACTGGGCCAGTGTTATCCCCACCCCCGCTCTGATGCTGGTGTCAACAAACCTACCGTGCTGCCGCCATATAAAAGCCCAGCACACAGAGCTATGCGTAGGACAGAACCCCTGAGGACAGTGACTGTTACTTGTTCATGCATTTACATTATGTTTTGCTGTTATTTTAAACTGCACTTCTACTTGTAACACTTAAGGGTAAAGCACGAGCTGTGTTCTGCCAGCAGCCACCTTGTCTATGCCGTGTCAATTACATCTCTTCATTACATTAATTTCTCTTGGGCTTGCTTTATCTCACGCTGCCTTGTTCACCAAGCCCTGGATGTGCTTGCTTACGGCAGTAGATACACCACAGTATATAGCCTAGATGTGCAGCAGGCTTTGAACATATCTAAGATTCTTTAAATACACTCCACATACACACGATAAATAACTGCCTGACAACACATTTCCTAGAGCACAACTTTACTAAGTGATGCATGATTGATAAAAGAAAATGGATTATTTTATTCTGACTTTGCTTCTCTTTTAGATACGTCTTCAGCCAACAGTAAGCACAACCATTGTGTGTGGATGTAGAGTAAGCCACGGTGGCCTTGGCAGACAGGCCCACAGCGCTCAGAACTCCGGGATCGCAGATGACAATATGGCACCCAAGAGGCTCCTCTGGCAGGGCCTGCAGCTCCCAGATGGTAGCCTAATCGCCAGCACTGGTGCAGATACTGTAAAACGGCTATCTTAAGCTCACCACTAAAGCAAATTATAACTGTTGTACTATAAGAAAAATGTGCTTACGAGTAGATGGTAGCTAATTAGAAACCGTAATCAAATGTTCACTTGATCAATGAAGAATTTAAAAACTAACAAGGTCTGAAAATTAAAACTTAAAAAGCTAACCAAGGATTCTCAGGATTGTAGATATGGTGAGAACTACAGTATTATATGCTTAAGAGTCAAATTAGCACTTTGTTGCTATTTAATTTTTTTTAAAGTACTGCTTTCTGTGGGTCTCCCTTATTTCATAAAATCTTTGGCTTTTAAACTTTTACTATCCAAGCCAGGTGTAATCCTGCACCTGAGAGGCTGAGGCAAGAGGACTATTGTGAATTTGAGACCAGCCTGGGCTACAAAGTGAACTCAAGGCCAGCCTGAACCATAGGTTCAGCGAGA